ACTTTATTGGTCAATCACTACAAGAATCCTTGCGATACGACTCGAGTCATTGTCGTTGTACTATAATTTTTACAAAAAGACTCGTTTCTGATCCGCGCGCGACAGCGGATCAATATCCAAAACATTTAGAAAAGCAATAAATGTACGGGAAATGATTTGGAGACATATCTGGAAGAACATCAGATAAGCAACAAAGGAGTTCTGGAAAAACATCAGAACAAATACTCAATCTGGAAAAACATCAGAGAGAGAAGCAAATCCGGAAAAACATCGGAAAGATTCTGGGAAAACATCATAATCAAAGGGAATATATGGAAGAACATCAGATAAGTTCTGGAAGAACATCAGAACAAAGACTCAATCTGGAAAAACATCAGAGAGAGAGAGAGAGAAACAAATCCGAAAAAACATCGGATAAATTCTGGAAAAAAAACATCAGAATCAAAGGGAATATCTGGAAAACCATCAGATAGGTTCTGGAAGAACATCAGAACAAAGACTCAATCTGGAAAAACATCAGAGAGAGAAATAAATCTGGTAAAACATCGAATAAGTTATGGGAAAACATTAGAATCAAAGGGAATATCTGGAAGAACATCAGATAAGTTCTGGAAGAACATCATAACAAATACTCAATCTGGAAAAACATCAGAGAGAGAAAACATAAATATGGGTGACATCCAAGAATGACGGTGGATAAAAAGGATACCAGACATCCAATAATGGCTTTGAATGAAAGATGCAATCATAATATCTGAGAATAGTATTGGGTGTAAGAGGAACAAACATATCCGGAAAAACAATCAGATAAGAAATGTCATATCTGGAAGAACATCAGATAGACACGACACAAAAATCTGTTGGTAGGTGCCAAGTGAGTTGGACTTTGACCACAAGGTGAGACATGGATAACACGACCTCGGGAGAAATGAAAATGAGGATGAAACACTCATGATATGCACATGTATATGAATATGATATGATATATGATCAAATGCAAATGCAAATACCAATGACAAGGCTCGACTCTTTTGGTGAGATGACAAGACTGGAAGACTGATTCTTCAACATGGATATCACTGTCATTCTGCTTAGGGACCAAAGATGTTACTGCTGAACATATCTCTGCCACATTGGCAAGCTGTACCAAATAGACGATCCTTGTACAAAGGATGAATAGCGGCTTGGGGATTCTTCAAGTAAATTGCCCCATATTAGCTGTCTGTTGTAGATGAACTGATAATTGCTTCAGTTTGTCTGATGTTGAAGATGACTGATTCACTGTGTGCTTGGAAAGCTTGCCCTAGTCTAAGTCTTGAAGTATCTTCTGGATAAATCAAATCTGAGAAGACCTTGCCCTGAACGAATATTGAACTGATTCTTCGACAGGATGTGAAAAGAACTTGCCCATGATAGGATCACCGACCAAGTTTCTCATTGTTTGAAAATTCCTTGAGAGGAAAGCCAGTTTGCAAATAAAAGTATTCATACAAACATGGTAATGCAAATTTCATGCAACTTTTTGAAATCAAAATCATTTTTGAAAGATGCAAAATAAATGAGCCATTGGTCAGGACACGGCTGTTCAAGACACTCAAAGTTTAAAGCACAAGTGTACTACCAAAATAGTTAACTTGCAAAGATCTCTTGGAGTCAGTTTACAATACCTTTGTGTATTTCTTCCTATACTTCTCCCCTCTTCTATTTCTTAAGACCTTTGAAATCACACATTCACATGCAGAAACAGATCTGTTGTGCACATGAAAGACATACATAAAATTATTCATATGCAGATTAACTTTTCTGCAATTGCAACCAAGAGCTCCTTCCAACTATTGGTTTATATCTCAGCTAGAACAAGTTCACATTTTAGTCGAGTTGATTTTCAAACCTAAAATTGTTGTAAACATAATCACACATATATTTAACATTTGTTGTTAAAAAACCGGTATTTCGCTGTTTTATCGCTATTATGTATCAGAATTTGAATATCCGATATGATATGTCAACTTCGCTATTTGCTATATATCGGTGCATTTTGATATATCGGTTATAGCTCTACATAATCAATAACGGAATTGTGTGTTTTAGTGGTGTCTGGACTTTTTAAAACATTAAAAAACTACTAAACCTAAATTGGTGACCAATTGTTTTTGAAACATTAACATTAAAGAATCACAATACCTGAAGTGGGAGTCACTTAGTTGTTGGTATTGTATATAAAATCTAAGGGTGTGTTTGGTTTGGGGTAGATGGAGGGGATGAAAGGGAATATTTCTAATTAAATCTGTTCGGTTCAAAGTTTATAAGGGGAGGCGAGGGAATATTTCTAACTAAATGTGTTTGGTTCAAATTTTATGAGGGGTGAGGAGGGAATATTTCTAATTAAATGTGTTTGGTTCAAATTTTATGAGGGGACTGAAGTTGAGCAAAACCCCTCCAAAACACATTTTTTGCGTCCCCCAAATCGGGGGATTTAGAGGGGAGGGGAGGGAATCTGAACTTTGATATTGAAAAAATTATTACATTTACTAAAATATCCACAGTTTTATTTTAATATTTCAAAATTATTCATTTTCTTTCGTGTTACTGCTTCTCTTTTGTGTAGTTTTTCTCCGTTGCTTGTATCAATTTATTATAATCGCTTTCCACCTTTAAATTATTTTTCGTATTTTTTTTATTTAATATAAATTATAATCACTTTTATAGTTTTTATTTTTATGTTTATGAATTTTCAGTTTTTTTTCTTCTAAATTTGTTATCTTATTATATTTTTTATATCAAATTTTAAACCATTCATTTTATATTTTTGTCTATTACATATTCAAAAATTATTATCAACACATTGTGTAATTTGTGTCGGAAAATTATATTGTGAATCAAGTTATAATTTTTTTTATCACCCAACAATATAAATTTTTTATTTAATTATTTATGCATATGTTATTACCAAAAAAATATTTATGAATTTTCCACTTTTTAAATATCATATGATTTACCCGCAAGTGTACTCGATTATTTATGCATATTATATTTCAACTGTTTTGCGGCTTCCGCTATTTACCCGCTATTTGTCCTATTGGTTTTCTGGCAATCCGCTATTAATAACATTATTTGGTCAAGGATTCTGTAAAATAGTTGTATTGTATAGTAGATGTGCCCCTTTAAACAATTTGGCGCCCTGACAGAAATGAATGCACTGTTCACATTCCCTTAGTGCCATAAATTCATGTTTATATGGTTAAGTGGCTTATAAGGCCATTACCTACCATCCTACTCTATACTTAAACATTTCATTCCTATCAACTTACATATGGTTCACTTATTGCAGGATGTCCATGACAGATATCGAACTGAATTCCATTCTGAGGCTACTGGGCGTTTTAATGAACGTTTCTTACTATCACTTGCCTCCTCTAAGGCATGTGTGGTAATGGACGATGAGCTGAATGTGTTACCAATTTCCTTTCACATAAGGTCTATTACCCCAGTTCCTGTTAAAAAGGTATCCTTTTAACTATTTCTTCCTTCCCTTTCTATCTTTTACCCTTTCTTTTTTGTTACATTTGATGTTGGGCTTTACTGCATGTATCTTGAATTGTTATTTACTCTTTCATGATATGGGGGTAGAAAACCTACTTTTAAAATGAAACGAAAAATGTTGTGTTTTTCTTTGCCGTTTTTACTCGTGGCTTTAAATATAATATGTCTTGGTTGATGTCAAAGTAAAAATAGGTCCTTTTCCTTCCTGTCAGGTACTAGAGGGTGTTCTTATTTGTGAAGCTTTTAATGTATGATACTTGTTCTGGAATCTTAATGATAGTCTGATTGTGTTTGGTAACTGCAAATTTTATATTTGTTAAGATGTTAGCTATAGAAAGTAGAAAGAGGAAGATAGAATGGAGTAGTCCTACCATGGGATGATCTATACAACGCAGCCTCCTCATTTATATAATACACAACTAGGTCTATGCTAAAGCACATCTAGGACTAAAACATATATTCTCGATTATTCTAAACAGTGTCCAATTTTTCTGTTGTCTTTCATTGTGGTGTGAAATTTCTCCAATTTATCTCTTTTTACTTATTTAGAATTAGATTTTTATAAGAATTAGAATAATATTATTAGATTTAGAATATTAGTTCAATTAAAAATTAGAATTAATTTAGTTTATTTAGTTTTATTAGAAAATATTTTTCTAGAATAGATTTTTATTTTAGAGTTAAATTAGATTTTTAGCCTAGATTTTAGAATTAAAACTTTAGAGTTAAAACAGTTTCTCTAGAATATAGTTTTCTAATTAGAATTATTTCATTTAGTTTTAAAATGGTTTTTCTAAAATATAAAATTAGATTTTAAGTTTTAGAAAATAGTTGTTTTTAATAGAAATAAATTTTTGATTATGTTAGAATTCTAGAATTTAAAATTTTTGTTAGAAAATAGTTTTTAATTGAAATTAATTTAATTTAATTAGTTTAAGTAGGATAGAATTATAATTTAAAATTTTAATGGCTTTTATAAGTAGAATTAATTTTTTGAAATAGAATTTTAATTAAAATTAGTTTAAGAATTAAAATTAAATTTAATAGATTATTATTAAAATTAATTTAGATTAGTTTTAATTAGTTTAATTAGGTTAATTAGATTTTAGGGTTAGAATTTTATTAAAGTTAGATTTTTTAATATATTAGTCTTTAGTCATTAATGAATCCAAAAATTAACAAAAAGTCAGCAAGAAAATCAAATGCACATGGCCACGTGGTTTTTCTCAACAGTATAAAGCTATTGTATATCGTCTTCCCCAAGAAGATTCAACACTAGCGAGAAGACTCAACACTGCGCCTCCCTCTCACCTTCATCATCTCTTGACACAGAACTCTAACCCGCCTCCTTTATTGGACCAGAAGCGCAGCCGATTCATCATCATCATCATCGTTCTCATCACTCAACTTCCATCCCTACACATTTCACCTGCATCATCCTAAACGCTTTATAGATAATGAGGAAGAAAGTAGATGAGCGAATCAGAACTCTTATTGAAAATGGTGTCAAATCAAGACATAGGTCAATGTTTGTCATTATTGGTGACAAATCTCGTGACCAGGTATCGTTTTTAGCATAGTGATTTGCTTTTTTATAGATAATTTCAACTATTATTGAATCTCGAGAGTGTTGCGAATTCGAGTGCGTAATGCAAACTCTGTTGTATGCAGATTGTTAATCTTCACTACATGCTTAGCAAGGCTCAAATCAAATCCAGGCCAACTGTTTTATGGTGTTACAAGCACAAGCTTGAACTGAGCAGGTTTATTTTATTTATTTTTATATATAATTGACGACGAATCAATGTCGTGTTAATAAACCATGATGTTAAACCACCGTATTTGTTTGTTAAAGTTTAATAGAACTTGATTAGAATGATTTTGAATGCACGCAGTCATGTAAGAAAACGCCAGAAGCAGATAAAAAAAATGAGGCATCAGGGACTTTGGGATCCTGAGAAAGCGGATGCATTTTCATTGTTTGCAGAAAGTGGGGATATAACTTATTGTTTATATAAGGATTCTGAAAAAGTTCTCGGCAACACTTTTGGGATGTGCATTCTTCAGGTATCTTACATTTCATACTAATTCAATATCTTGTCCTTTCGAGGATGTATTTTTCCCCCAACATAAACTAATCAGGTTTGCCATTATCTTGCTTTTAGGATTTTGAGGCATTACAACCTAATCTACTGGCCAGAACAATAGAGACAGTGGAAGGAGGAGGGTTGATTGTTTTGCTTTTACGCTCTCTGTCCTCACTAACCAGTTTGTACACGATGGTGATGGTAAGGAAGCAATTCACCATTCTTATTTTAGCCCTTTTTCTAAAACATAATAGTTCATTTGGTTAATCATTAGAGTTATCATCCTACTCTATACTTAAACTTTTCATTCCTATCAACTTACATATGGTTCACTTATTGCAGGATGTCCATGACAGATATCGAACTGAATCCCATTCTGAGGCTACTGGGCGTTTTAATGAACGTTTCTTACTATCACTTGCCTCCTGTAAGGCATGTGTGGTAATGGACGATGAGCTGAATGTGTTACCAATTTCCTCTCACATAAGGTCTATTACCCCAGTTCCTGTTAAAGAGGTATCCTTTTAACTATTTCTTCCTTCCCTTTCTATCTTTTACCCTTTCTTTCTGGTTACATTTGATGCTGGGCTTTACTGCATGTATCTTGAAGCCATATTTGTTATTTACTCTTTCATGATATGGGGGTAGAAAACCTACTTTTAAAATGAAACGAAAAATGCTGTGTTTTTTTTGCCGTTTTTACTTGTGGCTTTAAATATAATATGTCTTGGTTGATGTCACAGTAAAAATAGGTCCTTTTCCTTCCCGTCAGGTACTAGAGAGTGTTCTTACTTGTCGAGCTTTTAATGTATGATACTTGTTATGGAATCTTAATGATAGTCTGATTGTGTTTGGTAACTGCAAATTTTATATTTGTTAAGATGCCAGCTATAGAAAGTAGAAAGAGGAAGATAGAATGGAGTAGTCCTACCATGGGATGATCTATACAACGCAGCCTCTTCATTTATATAATACACAACTAGGTCTAGGCTAAAGCACATCTAGGCCCAAAACATATATTCTCAATTATTCTAAACAGTGTCCAATTTTTCTGTTGTCTTTCAATGTGGTGTGAAATTCCTCATTGTCAATGTTAGACACTTTCTTCTTGCTCCCTCCATCCCACAATGAGAGAGACCCATTTGTAAAATAATTGTCCTAAAATGAATGACCCTTTTGATTTTCAAGGCAATATTAATTACTTGTTTTCCAATTCTACCCTCTAATTAATACTACTTTCATCACACTCAAGGCAATATAGTCTACTATGCATTTAAGGTAATGGTAATACACGATAAAAGATAATTGAGTAGAAATATTATTCTCTCATTCACTTTTACACTTTTCTTAATTTGTGTGAAATGGTCAAATAGATCCCTGGTTTTGGACAGAGGGAGTATTGACAATTATTATTAGAATGAATTTTGGAAGTATCATCTTCTGTTTTCCTGTGTTGCAAAAAAAAAATTGAGGTATTTGTTGTTCTTAGAATATTAATAATGACTCGTGTCACATACTCACTCTAACCTAACCTACGGATGGCTTTGCTATTTCTTATAAAAATCGGATTGCCTAAAAACTGGTATTTAATACTGTACGGTTTTTTCCCCCTCTCCATTCCCTTTCTTGGCAGCCAAGCTGGATGCTTGTTTGTTGAATTCTCTGATGGAATGTAAGTTTGTTACTGAATTGATGCTGTAGGACTCAGAGGGACTCTCAGAAGTTGATCAGGGATTGAAGAAACTTAAAGAAGAACTAAATGAAGATTTTCCTGTTGGACCACTGATCCGGAAGTGTTGCACGTTGGACCAGGTACTATTATGTACCTTTCAACTTTTCACTCTCTACTATGGTCAGTCAAATTGGCGTTTTGAAGCGGTGCATGTCTGAATATATATGTTTTCTGTTTATAGGGAAAAGCTGTCATAACATTCCTGGATGCAATTTTGGACAAAAAGCTTTGTGGTACCGTTGCTACTTTTGCTGCACGTGGCCGTGGAAAATCAGCTGCTCTTGGTTTATCAATTGCTGGAGCTATTGCCGTGGGGTACTTGGCTTTTCAGACATAAATATCTCCATGCATGATGGATACACAAAAATTGTTTAGGACCTCATTTGAAAATTATCTGTTGTAGGTACTCAAATATCTTTGTTACTGCACCCAGCCCTGAGAATCTGAGAACCTTGTTCGAGTTCATATGCAAAGGTTTGGGTGTACTTGACTACAAGGTACAGGTTCTTTTACTCGTTGGCAACTATTATCATTGATCCCTAGTTAAGATGTATTTAGTTGCAAACTTGCAATAGATCTAAGGATGTTGATTGAACAATGTAACTTTGGCAATGGATGGGAGTTGTAAGTGACCACTGACATTTATATTTGATGGCCAAATGGTTCATTCCCACTTAAATCATAATATGGTGCAAATTTGGACTATTTTATTGTGCCTAAGCTTACAACTCAATTTTTTTTTACATCAGTTTTTACAAATGATGAAAATTTGATTTAATAACCTGTGGATTAAGCAAAAATTCTCAGTTGTAATTGTTTTCTAGACCATGTTTGAAATAGATAACACATTGTTATACTCCCCTTGTGATCAAGATATTATCTTCCCTTAAGAATGAGTCATCAAAGAGAAGAAAAGAAGCGCAAGTTTGCAAACCGAATCACATACACATGTTTCTGACCAGTAATGGAAGCCATAAAGATCATACGAATGTTTAATCATTTCATGTTTCAAAGACCCCGTAAGTTGTAGTGAAAGTTATTAACACAATTTATGCATCCGGGAAATCATAGCTTTTAGACAGTGATGTAGCTCTGACCTTTAATTTAAATATTGTTAACACTAAGTATATAGTAAGCTTACCTCATTCAATACTTCATTGTCGTATGTTAGGAAACAAAATGAAAATATTCTAGACATAGGGTACTGTCTCATGAATATTAAGTTTGGTATCTTTTTACTCTAACAATCATTAGATGATGGTTAATGAGTTAGGGTTCTTGGCTTTGGGTCTTTACAGTTTCCTTTTTGCCTAATTTATTGAGGAAATAGCGTGTTTGTTTAAGAAATCTACATTTCCAATGTGAATAGGAGCACGAACATTTTGATTTGGTAAAAAGTCAGATTTCTGAGCACAAGATTGTCACTACAAGAGTCAATATTTACAAGCACCACAGGCAGACCATTCAGGTAAGTTTATTGGTGATATTTCTTCATTGATGAATATGTTTCAAAAAGTGTGATGTGATGTTAAGGAAACTTACTGCTGTGATGTTACAAGTAATGAAAAAAATGTAACTCTGGCCCTGCTTTTCATCCTAATTTCTTTCAGTATATACTGCCACACGAACATGAAAAGCTTTCACAAGTTGAATTATTGGTTGTTGATGAAGCAGCTGCTATTCCGCTGCCAATGGTGAAGTCTTTACTTGGCCCATATATGGTCTTCCTGTCTTCTACTGTTAATGGGTATGGCTAGTTTTTGTTTTTTGGGAAAACCTTCCATATGTCATAATAATTTTCTCTAGTGATGAGTTATCTTCTTTTGAATTATTAGTCCTTTCATTCCTCTTGAGTCAAGTACTCTGTCAAACTCATTTGAAGGAGCTAACTCCTGATTGTGATTTGATTACTGAAAAAACTGTTCCTTTTGCTCATGTGAAGTTATGAAGGAACTGGACGCTCTTTGTCACTAAAACTTGTACAGCAACTGCAAGAGCAAAGCCATGTGTCTGCTAAGAGCACAGAGGGCACTGGTATGATGCTTCTGATCTTCAGAATTCACTTTAAATAAATAGTGTTTGTTATGCACTGTTCAAAATTTTAAACAGTCCAAGTGAATTATAAATTTAGTTCTTTGGTTTTCAATGACCCATTATATGATTGTAATAAGTTTTGTTTAAAGTTGTTTTTTTTTAATAATAAGTGTTAGTTTATTTCTTCTTCATTTGAGGCTATACAATACACTGAAATATATAAGCAGAGACGGTTAGTAAAACAATAATCAATCTACTAGCTAGGAAACATAGATACAAATACAAAGGATAGGAAATAAAATAGAAAGTAAATCTTATCTGAATCAGATAATTAAAATCTAAAAATACTCTAAACTAATTCATGTCGTTATTACTGAATTCATAACCATCTTTAACAAAGGTACATGCGTATATTATTGCTAGTTTTTTTATAAACTTTCAGGTCGCCTGTTTAAGAAAATTGAATTGAGTGAATCCATTAGATATGCTTCTGGGGATCCCATTGAAAGCTGGCTTAACACATTACTTTGCTTAGATGTTTCAAACGCCATACCTAATATTAGCAGGTTCTACCAAAGCTCATTTCATATTTGGAATAGGAGTCCATTTTTTCGATCCCCATTTACAGTTCTTTTGGTCTGAAATCAGGTTGCCTCCGGCCAATGAGTGTGATCTATACTATGTTAATCGGGATACTCTTTTTTCCTATCACAAGGATAGTGAGCTATTTTTGCAGGTAAAACCATTCATCGAATGATGTTGGGTGGGTTATGATTTATACTTTCACATGTTCAAATGCCACGATAAAATATTTGTATTCTTGCAGCGAATGATGGCCTTATATGTTGCATCACATTACAAGAATTCTCCAAATGATCTACAATTGATGGCAGATGCTCCAGCACATCACTTGTTTGTGCTACTCGGTATGATTGGTTTTCTTTGTAGTTATTCTTTTTTTGTTCATATGTTTAAATTTACGGAACTTGATTTAAACTTGAGAGTATTTGTATGACAGGGCCTGTGGATGAATCGAAGAATCAACTTCCTGATATTTTGTGTGTCATCCAGGTTTGCATTCCACATTAGGCATAAATAACCCTCATGGCATTGGGTTGCTTTAATCTCTCTAGATTGAACCCAAGGCTTTGTTTGGTTTGAGGAAATGTTATTTTTTGTTATTATTGATTACAGCAATGCCACTTTCTGTTTATCATACTTGTCTTTTTGTTGTGACTTCCTACGGTCCATAACTTTATTCACAGGTTAGCCTTGAAGGGCAGATATCTCGTCAGTCAGCCATCCAAAGTTTGAGCCATGGTCATCAACCTTTTGGAGATCAAATACCATGGAAATTCTGTGAGCAATTCCGCGATACAACTTTTCCTTCACTCTCTGGGGCTCGCATTGTACGCATTGCTACACACCCTAATGCAATGAGGGTAACTTTTACATACAACATATGATTTTGTTTAACCCAATTCTTCCAAAGTTGCACCACACCTCCTATCTTCTACCTTATTATTCTTAATCATTTTTTTTTCTTTTCAATTTCAGCTTGGCTATGGTTCTCAAGCAGTTGAGCTGTTAACACGGTGAGTGCATGCCTGGTTTCCTTCTAACTTCCTTCTAACATGTAGCAACATACTCCCCCTGTCCCAAAATTAGTGTCTTTCTAGCTAAAGAAATTTGTTCCAAAATAAGAGTCTCTTTACTTTTTCAATGAAGCATTAATTAATTTTTAACAACTCTACCCTTAATAAAAATTGTCTACACTCCTTTCAAGTTATTAAATCATACTATACATTTATGACTACCAATAGTAATTAAAGGCAGTTTTGTAAAATTGTTACATTTAACTATTCAATCATTACTTTTCTTAAAAGACTTTTATTTTGAGACGGAGGGAGTAGGAATGTAGAGAACATAGGGAAATGCTCAAAGGATGTGCTCTGCACTTATAAGTGTTGCATACAAGAGGGTTGTTGTCTTGTATGAGAAAGGGAGTGCAATGTATATGTGTGTACTAGGAAGATTTCCACAAACTAATAGGCTTAGTGGGTGAGAAGCTAACTGTCGCAGGTAACAACACAAATAAAACATGCCTTTTAAGGGTTTCTGAACATTATTAATCTTCATTTTTAAGGATTTGGGTCACATACTTACATATTCAATCCGCGAACCCAAGAACTACGAGAGACACAAACAAAATCGGCAACGCTCACAATTGCTCCGTAGTTGAATGATATTGCAGAATCATGCGATTCTACGCGCCTGCGGGCGATTTTAACTACCATGGCTTATCTTTTGTACGGATCCCTCGTTTAATTATTTTGTTTATATAAAAGATGCTTCAGCGTGGTCTGCTTTTAGTATTAAAAAATGTTAAGGTGTTAAGCAGCACATTATTGATCAATTTCTACATACATCTGCAGTTATTATGAAGGACAACTTACGCCTATCTCTGAGAATGATGTTGACGATAAAGTGCACACTCCACAAATTAAAGTCACGGAAGCTGCAGAGAAGGTATAATAATGCTAAAATCCTTTTTTATTGGCTTATATTGTTCTGTCTCTGCAAGTTGTATATAATGTATGGCAGTTATCTAGGAGTAGTCCAGTTGATTAGCATCTCAGCGCTGTTAAGAACTAGATTCACTTTGTAAAGAATTAGCATCTCAGCACTGTTAAGAACTAGATTCTCTTTGTAAAGAAAGAACTTCATAATTTTGAGATAATGTTGTGTAACGGCAATGCTTTATAGCCAGTTATTCATTGTCTATAGTTAGAGACAGATGGAAGAGCTTTTTTGGGTTGTGGTGTTCAACTAATGGGTTTTTTAGAGGAGTTTCTTTGTAGGTGATGCAGCAGGACATTTCTTTCGTGATGATTTATTTTTTCCCCTTTCTTTCTTGTTTCAGTGAAAAGGATCACTTTTGCTTTGTTTTTTTTTCCGTACATATATTTTTTTCCGTACATATATTTTTTTTCCTTTTTATTATTTATCAAAGAAGAGATTAAATAAAAGAAAAAGAAGATTAAATAAGGAGGATGAGAAAGAGGGGAGTCACTGAAGTGTGTATTCTGTTATTATGAGTTTAATGACTACACAAAGACTATATATATAGTTCTGGAATATTTCTAATTATATTTAAATAACAGAGACTAAGCAACAGCTAACTGCAGTATCTGAAAATAGACAGTTTTTATCATTCTCTTTTCAAATTCAGGGTGGGCTATCTTTGTTGATCACCTTGAGTTTGTCTCTAAGAGAACATAACATGTGCTTAGTTAGAGCCTTTATTAGAGCATCTGCAACTTGTTCACAAGAAGAAACATTATCAATAGTTACTAGTTATGATATTGTTCAAAACTGTATCATGGACAAACAATATTCCACACATTATGCTTGATGTGGACGTGAAGTAAAAGCATTTGGACCGTGTTGAGTGTGTCACAATGTATGGCCGGAGTGGATTAAAAAACTTACCATTCAGCTAGATGTCATATAATTTCTTCTTTTGTAGTATGGCCATGAAGCTCACTGGTGTATTGTGCTTCTCACGGAGGACAGTTGTGAGTTGTTAAAGTTATGGGTTAGTTATTTGCAGCCTGTCTCGTCTCATAGTGCCTGTGATAGGTAGATGGCTTGTCATCCATTAGATTAGTTGCAGGGAAGGTATAACGCAGTAGGGGTGGCAATAGAATCTATTAAGAGAATACCCATCCAATCCATCTAATCCCATCCATTAAACAAAAAACCAAACTTAATAGATTAGTCGAATCCATCCATCAAACTATATGGATGGATATCCATCTCATTTTATAAATCAAATGGATTTTAGTTTATTATTTATTAAATTTTTTTATTAAAAAAACATGAAAAATCTAAAATTAAACAATTTCTTGACATTTTTGTTTCTCACAAAATTCACCCATAGTTTTTTCTTTCCTGTATCTGAATGTAAAAAAATGTGAAAAAAATATTTGTTGTTGGTGATGTAAACATGAAAATGATATATATATATATATATATATATATATATATATATATATATATATATATATATATATATATATATATATATATATATATATATATACACACACACACACACACACATACGGCAAACAATTTTATGGATCGATGAATATCCATCCATTAGAAATGTCTTAATGGATGGATTGAATGGATTTTTTGAAGAATGATTTAGTGGATTGTTAATGGATTAATGGATTGTTTTGATCCATCTATTAACAATCCAATCCAAATCCATCAAATCCATCCATTTTGCCACCCCTATAACACAGAGCTGGTAGGACAAAACAGTCCTGAAACAGAGGTATTGTCACTGCTTGCCGGCATAAGTGGCTTGGAGATGCAGAGGCATCAAGTGTTTTCAATGGTTCTGGACAAACAGTCACGATGACATGTAGACCGGACTTGTCCTTTCTAGTGCCACAAGAACTTGATGGTTGTGGGTGGTGGGATAGGAAGGCATACTGATGAATGCCTTAGGGGTTTTGTGGGGGATAGATGGTGTCCCAAAAAGATTGTCACTTTTAATCTCATTTAATTGTATTTGATTTTTATTTTTTTCAATTGTATCCTCTCATTAATACTACATGCATCAGTCCCAAATTATTATTCTTCACTTCACACTTATGATAATGGGAATACACAATTGGTTAATAAGGTTAATTTGGAAAAATTGTTACTATATTTCCTAAATTTGAAACTTGTCTTTAATATGTGTGAAACAAGGAAATGTTACAGTTATTGTAGGCCAGAGGAAGTATATTCTATTAATATTTTTCAAACAAGATTGTTATAATATTCTCTGTTTGTTTCTTCTACTCGCATCGCTCAGATTTCATAAATACAGGAAATTATTACTCTTATTAGAGGCCTATGTATGTATGTATGTATGCATGTATGTTATTTCAATTTCAATATCCGAGTTCAATCATGACTCAGGCTGCATTTTGAACAAAATTGATAGACTATGTTTGATTTGTAATTGTCTGTGATTTTATATATATCTCTTATTATCTTCCAACAAACGCTTACCTTTTTAATGACACAACTATGAATTCAGGTTTCACTACTTGAAGAAAATGTAAAACCCAGAACAGATCTTCCTCATTTGTTAGTACATCTACGTGAAAGGCGCCCGGAGAAGCTCCATTATATTGGTGTCTCCTTTGGCTTAACCTTGGAACTTTTTCGCTTTTGGAAGAAGCATAGATTTGCTCCTTTCTACATTGGCCAGATTCCAGTTAAGCTTTGTTTTTTTTTTTTCTTAACCAGTAGACTTGGCTATGTGTTTCTTTGATCAGTAATTAATTAACATATTGTTTTCTTGACCTGATAGAATAATGTGACTGGTGAGCATTCATGCATGGTCCTGAAATCTTTGAATAATGATGAAGTTGAAGTTGATGAATCAAATCAGTGGGGCTTTTATGGTCCATTTTACCAGGGTAGGTGTATCCTTTTCTGCCATTATGACTCTGTTCCCTATTCGTGATTCATCTTAAATTCTGATTTAGTTTGCTCTCTGTAGATTTTAGGCAAAGATTTGCGAAACTTCTGGCTTCCACTTTCCGTGACATGGAATACAAGCTTGCTATGAGGTTAGTATTTGGAATTTAAAATGGATATTACGAAATTCCTTGAAATCTAGGGGCCACAGTTATTAACAATTAGATCATGTTGATGAGTAAGATTTTCTACCTCATTTTATCTTTTTAAATATAAGAAGCATCATTAGATGAGAAAAGTACATAAGCTGTGGACAAAATATGCTCCGAAAAGAAAATTCTCAGAATTTGGGACGGGCCTAACTCATTCCTAAAAAACCAGCTTGTAAGGTGAAGATTGCCCTCACTTATAAACACAACACAAGTCATATCTCTTAGCAATGTGAGACTAAATCCAGCCCTTCAAAGCCAACACAATGAAGGTGTTAGGGGCTGCAATGAAGACAAACCAAAGTGCCGTAATTAAGGCGACTAGGGGCGGACCACAATTAAGCGGAAAGTCCAACAAAAACAAAATGTACAAAACATAGAAAGCCAGAACAAACTACAAGGACAAATCACAAACAAAGTTTGCCAGTCTTTTTTTTTTTTGCATGTTTATCTATGAATCCCCTTTAGAATATTCATTTGCAAGGTGCATCTCCAATGAGAGTAGTGGGACTTGCTTAGATGTTAATTAATAAAATATAATATTATTTTGGTATGCCACATGTGATTTGTGTTTCATATATTTAGTTAGAGTTGCATATTTAAGCAACCTTGAAAGAGACTTCCATAGTATTTAAATGTTTTTTTGTGTGCGCGTATGATAGTAGTGTATAAGTGGCAAAGAGGTATGAGGCGTTGAAGAGATAGGACTTTGGGGAGGGGAATTAAGCAACTTTGTGAGAAACTCTCATTAGAGTGAAAGTTGAGTGAGTGGGCATGCATGGACCCCAAACGTGATTTTGGCTAAAGAACGATTTCCTTTTCAATATCTTACAAAGTAATATATTATTAATAAAATTTTCTTGTGCAAGAAATGGAAATAAGCAACTGAGGTTCTTTTCTTTATTTTCAATTATTAAATAATGTGTTACAACTTACAAATATATGGTGAGAGTAAGTGAGAGTCAGGGTTTGTTCTATTTATCTACCCTCTATTTACTGCCAATTTATGAGAGAAAAACACAATTGATAAATTAGTGAGACGTATTAGTAGGATCTATTTATTGAAATGAGTCCACTAAATAGAATCACTTGCCTATATTCGAGCTATCCAAGATATGTATGAGGGGTTTTTGATTAATGTGAGGAATAGGGTGAAGAGACGGTGGTTTTCCATAATAGGATTGCACCAAGATTCAACTGTAAATCCTTATCTTTTTACTTACGGAAGACGTTCAAGAGTTAGCACTGATATGTATGTTTTTTAGAGATGATATAGTTCTAATTGAAGAGTTGATGGGTGATTTAAATTAGAGGTTAGAGACTTCCACATGAGCAGAAGTAAGACATAGTATATGGAATGTAAGTTTAGCTATAGGAGAAGCGGTTCTAACTTAGAGATGAAAGTTGGAGATCATATCATATCACAAGTTTCGCAGTTTAAATATCTTGGGTATGTAGTACAAAACAATGAAGAAATAGGGGACAAACTATTGATTTCAAGGAGAGCTTCAAGTGTTTTATGTGATATGAAAGTACAACTCAGCTGAACGAAATTTTTTATCGAACGACTCTAAAACCGACGATGTTGTTCAAAACATAATGTTAGGCGTAAAGAACCAACACAAATATAAACTTAGTGTAGCGAGTTGAGGCTGTTGTGTTGGATGTGTGGTAAGATTAGATGAAATAATATTATAAATGTTAATATTAGAGAGAGGGTTGGGGTGATACCTATAGTAGAAAAGATGATGGAAACTATGCTTAGGTGGTTTAAGTTATAGAAACTATAGAGACCAGTAAATTATGTATTTAGGAGAGTATATCATATGAAGGTAATCAAACCACTAGAGGTAGATGAAGACCTAGAAAAATTATATGAGAAACTATAAAGATCTCGAGATTAATGAGTTGGATAGATGTATGCTTTTTGATAGAACACTATGATGTTGTTTGATCCAAGTAACTGACCCCACTTAATAGGATAAGTTTGCCGTCTATCTCTCTCATAATTGATAGGTAGATAAATGGAAGGGAGATAAATGGAGCAAATCAGGACTCATGTTTAAGTATATTTTCCTTTACACGATCCCGCAACTACCATTACATCTGCCCATTTTATTTTTTTATTATTCTAGGAGTGAAAAATTTCGTTTGGTCTAAGAAATTAAAAGAAAGTTACAATTCATGCTTTTACCCTTCCATAAAATTATACAGTTATTGCATACTTCAATCCAATTTTCATTAAATAGAATACAAATATGAAATTCTGTAAGATCTACATCCTTCATTTACTCATTAGTGCCTTTTATTTTGATAATGTATCCAGTATCATAGACCCAAAAATCAACTTTACGGAGCAAGAGCCTATAAAGACAACTGCTGACAAATCATTGGGATCAGTTAAAGAATATTTATCACCACATGATATGAAGCGACTAGAGGCTTATGTTGACAATCTTGCTGACTTTCACCTGGTAAGTTATCATTTGGTGGATACTTATTTAACTTTACTTCTTGATGATCACCCAACCGATACTTTTTGGGTCATAAAAACTTGAGCTCTGTACTCCACTCTAAAGTCCTATCAGTTCTCACTTAATAAAATATGATTCCATTTAAAATTTATAGAATCTCAAGCACCCTAATTCTGCATGATTGTTTACTGATGTAGATATGTAGATGTCTTGAATTTGTATTACAATATTTGGTTGGATAAACTGCAATGATCAGACAAATTAAATTAACATTTCTCTGAGTTTGCTTACCGTGCACGAACTTGAATATGTGAGAATTGTATGAACCAAAGTCAAAATGAGATGATGTTCTGCCTTAAGTTAAATGACCTAAGAAGTGGTTCAGGATGGTGGCCTTATGTAGCATCGGACATAAAGCACCATGTGTGTGCGTGTGTGTGTGTGTGTGCATATATAGCTGAAGTTGTGATGTACTCCCTCCATTCTCTTTTATAAGCAAATTTTGATTTTTGTGGTTCATTCAATAAATGATGTATCTGAACTATATATAGGTTAGATGCATTAGTTACTTAATGAAACTAAAATGTTAAAATTTGCTTATTAATAGGAATGGAGGGAGTAATAGTTTTATTTAAGTTTAGACCATTGGTGTGGTTGCTTTTAAACATGATCTTAACTTTTATTTTTATTTATTTGACAGATTTTAGATTTAGTTCCTACGCTGTCACACCTGTACTTCCAAGAAAAGATTCCAGTTACATTATCACATGCTCAAGCTTGTGTGTTACTCTGCACAGGTCTGCAGAATCAGAACATTTCGCACATTGAGGTCTGTTTGCTAACTTACATCATTTTTTGTTTAAATAACACCTACCTATCTAATGTTTTATACAGGCAGCAACAAAGGGAAGCCGAATGCTGTCTGCCATTACTGGATTAACGTTATAGAACATTTTATCCGCACTTTTTTGAAATTTGCTTTTGTACATTGGGCAATTCATTATAATACAAATTGTCTGTTAAATCAACAATTCACTATAAAATTCTGTGCTTAATATTGTAAGAAGTTTGAATATACTACCTTTTTTTTGCCATTAAGTAGAAGTAATTACTATTTATCCTATTTGATTTCTTCCCTGTTGGCGCATTTTAATAAAGACAGAATCACATTTTATTTTGTGCACTTCCGTTTAATAGGGACAAATGAAGCTGGAAAGGCAACAAATATTGTCTCTCTTTATTAAGGTTATGAAGAAGTTCTACAAATATCTATATGGCCTTGCATCCAAAGAGATTGAATCAACCATGCCACGACTGAAGGAAGTAAGTTAATATTAGTTCAACATTTTGACCGAACTTCATAGAAAGTTTGGTTAATGAAATCCTCACATGCATGTTCTGCAGTATGTAGGGATACAAATTCTACACAATTTTGCAGCTTCTCTTATCTTTCACTAATCTTGAGTCCTTTTTCTTGGTTTTCTTTTATTTTGTCCCTAGATTGTCATGGAACCTCATAGTGTTTCTGTGGACGAAGACCTCAACGATGGGGCTAAACAAGTTGAGGTATGTACTAGCAACTTTTGCTTTACTTTATAGAAGATCCTACGATAATCATCACTTGTTTCTTTCCACATCCAATTGTTTGTAGCTCTTATCTTTAATATTATTACTGGATTACTGAATAGGACGATATGAAGTCAAAATCAGAATCACTCTTTACTCCTGAGTTGCTCGAACGATATGCCATTGAAGACGGAGAATCCTTTGACAATGTTTTGCAAAGTACTGGTGGAAAAATACCCACAGGTGGTCTTATCAGTGTGAAATCCAGCAGGAAAATAATCAACTCTGAAAAGGACAATGGAAGTCATAAGAGTGATAAAAAGAGGCGTATAGACAACCACAGCCATAAATCATCTAGTAAAAAGGAAAAGAAGAAAAGGTCTTCTTGACTTTAGAGAATAACTGTTGCAGAACAAACCATGAAGGTTTCAGGGATGGGATTGTTGGTCCTGGGTAGTAGTCAGAACAGAAGTAATAGTGAGGAAAATACATGTCCAAATTGAAGAAACTGCTAATTTTGAGGCAATTCCGAGTTTTTTTTATCTCTCCCTCTGTATATACTCACTACCAAGAAAATGTTTTAGGAAACAAATTTTGATGTGAATGATTTATTCAAAGTTTGATGGTTATGAGATGAGTTCTGATCCTCAATTACTCAACATATCTGGTACTCACCATAGCTGTAGGGTTATTATAAAAGATTTGAAGAGAAGTGGCACACAGTTAAGAAAATGAGACGCTCAAAAATTGGTGTCATATGCAAGTTTATTTTTTATTTTTGACAGAAATATGCAAGTTTATTAAAATCGAGTTTAATTTGTAAAATTGCTCAATCTTAGGTTTAGTTATGCAGTTTGAATTAAATTGCTTGTAAAATTAAATCTTCTTTGGTTTTGAAGAAACTTATGAAGTTCTTATGGATTAGTTGAATAGTTATGTAGTTTGTTTTAATTTGAACATGACATTTTAGTAAGGCTACTTCATATATTTTTATTGTGGGATTAAGTTGAAATTCTGAATTATTAATTAATTTATAATAATATTGTATAAATATGTTTTATTAAATTATAATAAGTAAATTGTTTTTAATTCAGTGGAAAATATATACTTATCCATTGAGGTGAGAATTTGACAAATATTACATTTGTATGTTAGTCATAGTTTCAAAAGTGGATTGTCAAGGAAATTTAATAAAACTTCGCCATGCATTTCATTTGTCATTGCTTATATTATTCTGATTTTTAAAATATGTTAGGTCTAGAAATACATTTTTGTTTTTAGTTGAGTTTATATGGAAGTGTATTTTTAAAATAGTTTAGAGTACAATTTCAACAATTTTGTGTGCGAATATTTTATATTATTGTTTGTCTTAAATATAGTGCACCTTGATGTTATCTCTAAATCTATTTTGTCAATGAAAGTTAAACATGTTGATGTCAAGGGGGATGTTGGCAATCAATTTATAAATGAACAAGACTTTGATGTTCATGATTATATGCTCCAATGGATCTGCACTGAGGCATCGAAATTATGGTTCAATGTTGTAATCGAAAGGATAATTGTTTATATAGAACACTTACATTTGTGACACTAAGATGCGAAAGAAGTGGCAAGGACACAACTATTCTTCGGAAGTTAAAATGATATGTGATCATACTTGACCAGGAAGGGATCGATGATCTGCCACGCGTCGTCGATCTGGAAGCTGTTCACCAAAGTGTTGAGGAGGAGGGGGTGTACCTGAAACACACTCCGATGCCAAAGTAAGTGACAGGCAGAATGGAAGCAAGTACAGAGAGAGAGTGAGAGAATTAAGTTACCTGACCCTCTGGTGAAGAGGGTATTTATAGTGACCCCACAGCGCAGGGCCAACGGTTACCTAGCACTGGGAGGAAGGCTGTGCTCGACGAGTCTTCTGCCCGTAAGCATGGTTCAAAAGGGGCCAAACCTCAGTGGGCTTTGGGCCTGCTAGGTAGTGGACTGAGCGTCGGCCCAGACCAGAATAGTATCCCCCCAAGTCGTTGTTTGGGGTCAGGTGAGCAATGACTTAAGTAGAGAGTGGCGTCGGGCGTGTCGGTCCGACGGGCAGGCTGCGAGGATGGGGTCGGACGCATCGCTTCGTCGGGCAGGGTGTGAAGATGGTGTCGGGCGACGAAACCCGTCGGGCAACACGCGAAGATGGTGTCGGGCAAGGTGCGATTCGTCAGCTAAACGAGCGAACAGTGTGACAGACTCATGGTCGGGGGAGAATATGAGGAGACGCAGGGAAGATGAAGGGTTGCCACATGTCTTTTTGTGGCGGCTAGGGGGCTAGGCACTTGAGTGCCTAGCGATGCTTTGTTTCCCGTGTTAGGGGTATATATAGTTTGACCAGGCTCGTCTTTTCGTCCATTCGCTTGTTTGTATCTGCTCCGTCGACCAGGAACTTCTGCTCGAGACCTTCAATCTCTTCTGCCCGACATCTGATTTTCCTGCTCGGCAACAACCTTTCTTCATCCTTAACAAGTAAGATTCCACACCTTTCTTTGTGTTTTCAGTTGTTTGTGGCAGTGTTTCCGGCGGCTCCGCTGGGGTGCTAGGTATACCACGGATTGTTCTGGCGAATACGCCGGAGAATCCTTAAAACCTAGGGTAGGAACGAATGTCCCCGGCCCTTGCGATGGGTGCGCCGGGGAGAAATTGAAGACTTCGAACGCCCCGAGGATGACGGGATGAATTCCTCGGGCACAAGTGGATGTGTGCATCGAGGAAAGAGGGTGTATTCTCTGGTTTTCCTCGGGGATGGAGTTGTCCTTAGTTCGTCCCATGGGCGGTTTCTCGACCACACCCTTTCACTTGAACTACGGTGGAAGGGTGGATTTGATTTGGATGTCGAATTCACCATGTTCCTCTGCTTTTCAGGTATAAATATGGCCGGTCGCGCCGAGGAGGAAGTGGAGTGGTACCTGTTCGCGGACGAAGGGGATCGCGAGGAGCTGGTCGACCTGGACCCTCCAGAAAGGCCTTTGGAAGAATGGGTCGGGGAGGAACCCCTAAGTTATATGTCAAGGTTTGTCCTCGACGATTCGGATGTGTTCACGGTGATAGAGGACAGGGTTGCCGGGAGCCCTCGTCAGTTCCGCGCGTGCCGACCACGGGAGGCCGACCGCATATGCTTGCGATTTGAAGGTGGTCGGTTCCCTATGTACGAGTTTGCGTTCAAGGAGGTGGGAATGCGCCTGCCCTTCACCGACTTCCAGCAAGGCGTTTTTGACCACCTGATGTTGGTGCCGTCTCAGCTTCACCCGAACTCGCTAGCCTTCCTCCGGGCATTCGAGATCGTATGCAACTATCTGGAGCTCGGGGCCACTATTCCTTTATTTTTCTGCGTCTTCCACTTGCAACGTCAGACGACCGCAGGTCAGCATAACTGGGTTTCGCTGAAGCAGGCGACCAGGCTCTTTCGGCCGTATACCGATTCTGTTCGGGGGTTTAAAGATCGTTGGTTCGTGGTCATGCCGGCCACGGATGAAGCGTATGCAATCATATTTCGGAAGGAAATAATAGACGGGACGGGCGTCCTGAGGAGAGCTATGAGTCCTACATCTGAAACACTTAGAAAAGCAATAAATATACGGGAAAAGATTTGGAGACATATCTGGGAGAACATCAGATAAGCAACAAAGGAGTTCTGGAAAAATATCAGAACAAAGACTCAATCTGAAAAAACATCAGAGAGAGAAACAAATCAGGAAAAACATCGGATAGATTCTGGCAAAACATCAGAATCAAAGGGAATATCTGGAAGAACATCAGATAAGTTCTAGAAGAACATCAGAACAAAGACTCAATCTGGAAAAACATCAGAGAGTGAAACAAATCCAAAAAAACATCGGATAGATTCTGGAAAAAACATCAGAATCATAGCGAATATCTGGAAAACCATCAGATAAGTTCTGGAAGAATATCATAACAAAGACTCAATCTGGAAAAACATTAGAGATAGAAACAAATCCGGGAAAACATCAGATAAGTTCTGGGAAAACATTAGAATCAAAGGGAATATCTGGAAGAACATCAGATAAGTTCTGGAAGAACATCAGAACAAAGACTCAATCTGGAAAAACATCAGAGAGAGAAAACATAAATAAGGGTGACATCCAAGAATGGCAGTGGATAAAAAGGATACCAGACATCCAATAATGACTTTGAATGAAAGATGCAATCATAATATCTGAGAATAGTATTGGGTGTAAAAGGAACAAACATATCCGGAAAAACAATTGGATAAGAAATATCATATCTGGAAGAACATCAGATAGACACGACATAAAAATCTGTTTGGTAGGTGCCAAGTGAGTTGGACTTTGACCACAAGGTGAGACATGGATAACACGACCTCGAAAGAAATGCAAATGAGTATGAAACACTCATGATATGCACATGTATATGAATATGCTATGATATATGATCAAATGCAAATGCAAATGCCGACGACAAGGCTCGATTCTTTTGGTGAGATGACAAGACTGAAAGACTGATTCCTCAACATGGATATCACTACCATTCTGCTTAGGGACCAAAGATGTTACTGCTGAACATATCTTTGCCACACTGACAAGCTGTACCAAATAGATGATCCTTGTAGGAAGGATGAATAGCTGCTTGGGGATTCTTCAAGTAAACTGCCCCAGATTAGCTGTCTGTTGTAGATGAACTGATAATTGCTTCGGTTTGTCTGATGTTGAAGATGACTGATTCACTGTGTGCTTGGAAAGCTTGCCCCAGTCTAAGTCTTGAAGTATCTTTTGGATAAACCAAATCTGAGAAGACCTTGCCCTGAACGAATATTGAACTGATTCTTCGACAGGATGTGAAAAGAACTTGCCCCTGATAGGATCACCGACTAAGTTTCTCATTGTTTGAAAATTCCTTTAGAGGAAAGCCAATTTGCAAACAAAAGTGTTCATACAAACATGGTAATGCAAAGTTCATGCAACTTTTTGAAATCAAAATAATTTTTGAAAGATGCAAAATAAATGAGTCATTGGTCAGAACACGACTGTTCAAGACACTCAAAGTTTAAAGCACAAATGTACTGCCAAAATAATTGACTTGCAAAGATCTCTTGGAGTCATTTTACGCAACCTCGTTGTAGTGTGCTTTCAAAATAACCTTGCTTCAATTAGGTCTTTTGAGGGTTGTAACGTGGCTTGGTTCACGGTTTATAAAACAAAGGATAAAGGCTCAAAATTTATTTGTACCCACCCGATCTACATGATTATCTTCATTCCTATGCTCAGTTAACTCATATTATTTGCTCAGGTTCCCATATGTTAGGAATTGCACTAATAATAATGATGATGGTTCAGAAGTCAACAAACTTTTTTGAAAAGGCAATCACTGATTC